ATCCAGTATCCCCTTCGTCCGGTGGATACCCTTCTTAGGAAACTTGATGTGATGTAGTTTCCCAAACACACAATGCTCCCAGAAGTCCAAATTCTGCACCTTGTGCCCGCAAAGAAGATCCCTCTTCCACAGACTTTCATCCCTCGTTCACTCAAATGACCCAATCTCATGTTCCAGAGAGTGGTCATATCTTCCTGTGGAACCTGAGATGACGCAACTACAGTAGAACCTGACAACACAGATCCTTGTAATGCATATAAGGTCCCACGCTTCACGCCTTCAGCACCTTCCTTGAACCTTTGCAGACATACATAATTCCACCTCTTCCCTTGAAACAGAGACGCTTGTTGTCGAGAAGACTCAAGGAGATCAGATTCTTCGTCATCTGTGGAACATGCCTGACTTCGTTCACGGTGCAGAATGAACCATCATGTGTCCGAATCTTTATAGACCCGATTTCAACAACCTTGTAGGCAACTCCATTCGCCATAACCATGTTACCACCATCTATCTGCTCGTAGGTTGAGAATCAGTCCTTATTCGGAGACATGATATGAGGCTGCAGTATCCAGAAACCACAAATCGCCACGATGTGCCTTCTCATCTACAACCAAGGAGAGATCGTCTTCAAAAACTGTTGTCTACTTCTGCCACGACAACAAAATCTTGGTTCTTTTGATGCCATCTCTTCCTGGGACAGTTGTACTTCCAATAACCCACTTCCTTATAGATGTGACAGACATCGATTGGCTGTGGTCCGGGACCCTTAGAATTTGAATTTATGTTCGAATTCCCTTTACCATATTTCTTCTTTCCCTTTCCACCTGTAACAGCCAACCCCAATGCTTCACCACATGTACCAGATCCATATGCCTTATGTCTGATGTCTCTCGTATGAAAAGCAGATAAGACATTGTGCAACGATAAGCTCTCTTACCAGCAATACAAGAATCCATGAAATTCTCATATGAACTCGGCAAAGACACAAGGAGGATTAGGTCAGCATCTTCATCATCAACTTTAACATCTATATTACGCAAATCCAACAAAATAGAATTAAGTTGTTCCAGATGTTTCCCTCAATGGCGTACCTTCTTGCATCCTCAAGCTGAACAACCATTGCTTGAGATGCAACTTGTTGGTTAAAGATTTAGTCATGTACATACTCTCCAACTTCAACCACAAGCCTGTGACAGACTTCACAGCAGCGACTTCAATGATGACGTCATCAGACAGCGATAGCATGATGATTGAGAAGGCTTTCTCCTCCAGGGTATTCCACTCATCGTCATCGACCGCTGCCTTCTTCTGTTTCGTAGACAGCGGCCCCCACAGTCCTTGCTTTTTCAATAAAGCATGCATCTTGATCTATCATATAGTTTCCAACCGGCGCTCTAATACCACTTGTTGAAACTGGGCAGCTCAATTAGTATGATATTGTCCACTTTGGGCCAAGTCCGCACGGATTTACTTTTGGGTATCATTCCCAAAAGGCCTCGTACTAATTGGGCTAGGTGGACACTAATATACAAGGGTTCCTTCCCTTGTATTTCCGATGTGGTACTTGGATTGTACCCTAACACGCTCCAAGTGTTGATGAAACAAATTTGACTATTTAAAGTCAAATCAACCTAGGGGTGTCAATTCGGGTTTGATTTTTCGATTTTAACCGAACCCAAACTAGTAATATGTATTATCGGGTTTTCGTTTTTGTTTCGGATTTGGGTTTTCGGTTTCGGGTTTCATATTTCGGTTTTGGTGTCGGGTTTAACTAAAAATCTGAAGCCATATCAACGCCTCACATTCCATAGTGTGTTTTGGTTTTCTGAGTTTCGGTTTTGCCTTACCCGAACCTGACCGTTAAGAAACTTTTGATTTGGTTTAGCTAAATAGGCTCTTGTTGATTTTGGGTTTGGTTTTCAAAGATAGCGGTTTCAGACATTTTGGTTTTAGGTTCGGTTACTCGAACCCGACACAAAACCCCTAACCTACCCAGCCTTGCGACCTACCAAGGCTTCATCAGCTTCCAAAAATTCAAACACCTTAGCCAGGTACAGAACCCGTGTTGATGTGTCGATAGAAAAAAACTTGGACCAGCATATATACTACGTTTTGGTTTTCTGAGTTTCGGTTTTACCTTACCCGAACCTGACCGTTAAGAAACTTTTGATTCGATTTAGCTAAATAGGCTCTTGTTGATTTTGGTTTTGGTTTTCAAAGATAGCGGTTTCGGATATTTTGGTTTTAGGTTCGGTTACTCGAACCCGACCCAAAACCCCTAACCTACCCAGCCTTGCGACCTACCAAGGTTTCATCAGCTTCCAAAAATTCAAACACCTTAGCCAGATACAGAACCCGTGTCGATGTGTCGATAGAAAAAAACTTGGACCAGCATATATACTACGTTAGCAACTTTTGTAACAAAGCCGCAACGCCCCATATTTGAAAAACCTCGTACTTCCTTTAAAACTTAATCTTAAACTAGGAAGGTCATCACAATTATATCTCAAGTGTCATGACATAAGAAGAGCATCAATGCCATGGTAGGAAATCGGGCCAAGATCAGGTGACTAAGGGGGGTCCCCTTAGTCACATGGCTAAGTGAATCTCAGCCACTCAACCTTATTAAAATCCAAGGGCTCCTATTATTGAGTATCTGTATCCGTGTTTGTCTTGAACACGTGTTTAGTGTCCTTGTCCTTGTTAGATAGTCCTTTCTTGTTTGTCAAGCCAAGGAGTTAATGTTAATCGGCTGTACAAGGAAGCCCTAACAAGCTGTCTATATAAGGCTCTTAGCTACCGAGTTGTGTGGTAAGCAAGAGTGGTAAAAGGTTCTCTCAATAACAAGTCTAGTCGTGAGCTCCGTTGAGCTCACCGTGGATTATTCCTGTTCCTATCGAACAAGGATACCACGTAAAACTCTTGCGTTGTGTGATTGTCTATTTCCGCGTTCTGGTTTTCTTCATGGTATCAGAGCCACGGTCAATCCTCATTGGGTTTTGAGTTTTGTCTTGTCCTTGTCCATCCGTTGGGTTGCTATTGTCCTTAAGTCATGGAAGGAAGCTCTTATTCAAAGGAAGAAGGGAAAAAGCCAATGGGACATGTCCCTGAACTCATTGGACCTACGTCACCCGTCTTCCTACACCCATCCGACGCCCCTAGTCAAGTTTTTGTTGGAGATCTGCTCACCGATATGAATTACGGTGAATGGTCAGCAGAGATGTCCAACGCACTCATCGCAAAGAACAAGTTTGGATTTGTTCTCGGCACCGTCTCTCGGCCGGAATCTGGCGAGCTACTCAATGCTTGGACACGCTGCAATGCTATGGTTGTGGGTTGGCTTCGCCAGGCCATGACAAAAGAGATTCGTAGCAGTTTGAGCACCGGGTTCACCGCACAACAGATTTGGGACGAACTAAAAGAGCGGTTCAGCACGGGGACACTCCCTCGGCGTTATAAGATCCGCCGACAACTCATTGCCCTACGTCAGGATCGATCCAGTATCTCCACGTTTTACGCCAAGCTCAAGCGACTATGGGATGATTGGTTGTCTCTCGATCCACCGGCCAAATGTACTTGTGGCCATTGTACGTGCAATGCTGAGCAGCGGACTAGGGAATCTGACGAGGCGATGAAGCTACTTGATTTCCTCGTAGGACTTGATGATAATTATGCCGCCATTCGCACTCACTTGCTGTCTCTCAAGCCGGCGCCAACTTTGGGAGAAGCGTACCATGTTGTTGCCAATGACGAGCAGCAAAAGCATATCACCCATGATCAAGGGTCACGCACTGATGCTGCTGCTTACCAAAGTCACGGCGAGCGCACGCATGCTGAAGAAAGAACTTCCGATGGAAGACCTAAATGCACCTGATGAAGATGAAAGGAAAGGGTGTCCTGGATTTGAATCTACAGGAGCAGAGTGCTCAAGAGAAGATGGCGCCAATGTTGCAGAGTTTGAATTCAGAGGAAGAACAGTTCGCTTGAAACGTTTCGGTGTGGCGGCCGTTTCGTTCGCAGTGGAGCTGTGCAAGGAGCAGAACGACGACGCTTTATTTATTCGTTTTCTTTTAACCGTTTTATGTTGTTTGGACGAATGGTGTTTAACCACGTCATTGTTACCGTTGTGAAACAGTAAATCCGGAACCATATAAATAAACGAAACCCAGCAACTGAATTAGCTGAGGATTCCAAAACCCTTCCTCCATTCTTCATTTTCTACATGGTATCAGAGCAGATCTGAAGCAATGGCGGAAAACCAAGGTCCAAATCGGGCTCAACCAAACACACCACCTCAAACACCACCATACAATCAAAACAATCAAACCCAACGCGCTTCTCCTTTTGTGCAATTTGGTCAGTTCACTGATGGCAACAATTTCAACAACAACACCGCTTCTGCTTCTGGATCTGGGACTACTACTGCTGCTGGTGCTGCTCCAGATCCAAACTTCAGTAACCCATTCTACATTAACCCTAATGAGAATCTGGCTCAATCGGTGATTCCCATAGTCTTGGATGGTCCTAATTATCAAATGTGGTCTAAGGCTGTGAGAGTTGTGCTGAAAACAAAGCACAAGCTGGGTTTCATAGATGGGAGCATACCAGCACCTCCTCAGGGAGATCCACTGTTTCACGTTTGGGATGCTTGTAATACTATTGTTCTTTGCTGGATAACGAATTCGCTGCAGAAAGATATTGCTCGTAGTGTTCTGAGTCATGATAATGCTCAGGTTCTGTGGACTGAGTTAAAGGGCCGATATGGTCAGGCTAGTGCTCTCAAACTAGCGAATCTAGTAGATGATATCCATGCTTTTAAGCAAGGAACTCGTACAATCACTCAATACTACACAGAGATGAAAGGTTTCTGGGAGGAATATAGTCAGTTTAACCCGATTGTCCCATGTGGATGTGCACCAGGCAACCCAATGCCTTGTGCTGCTGTAGAAGCTTTCAGGACAAAGCAAAATACAGAATACCTAATCCGTTTCCTAGCTGGTGTGAATCCTGAGTATGACCAAATCAAGACTCAACTTCTGCTCATGAAACCACTTCCCACAGTGGTTATGGCGTTTGATGACCTCTTGCAGCATGAGCAGAAACTCAAGGCAGAAGGCAGTCTCAAGCAGAAAACAGGACAGTCAGTGGCATTGGCTGTTGGAGGAAACAATTCCAATAGCACACCTCCAAGAGCTAACAGAGACAACCCACCTGCTAAGGGAGATAGAGAAGAACTGTTTTGCAACTATTGCAAGAAAACCAATCATGTCATCAAGGATTGCTGGAGGCTTAAGAAAAAGAAGCAGGATCGAGAGAATGCAGAGAATGCAGGAAGATTTGCAGGTTCTGTTGGTCAGAACATTGGGTCTGAAGAAGGGAGTCAGACTGAAGGGTTGCATATTGAGGTTGGCAACAGGTTTGCCAGTCCAGTTGGAGGGTTTACTGCAGAAGAGATGAGCAGGTTGAGAAGCATTCTGCAGATGTCCAATTCCACTTCTCCAACTTCACCTCAGAGTCCAGTAATCAATCATAGGGCACATTCAGTCACTACACATCTTCCTGCCTTCCCAAACTCTGCAGGTAAATATGTCCTGTCTTCCACTAGTTCTCATAATGTCTTGTCTTCAACTTGGATATTGGACACAGGTGCATCAGATCATATTGCTTGTTCCCTTCATTTGTTTCATAAAAGTCTTCCAGTGTCTGATGTCTATGTCTATCTCCCTAACAAAACTAAGGTCCTAGTTAGTCATATAGGATCAGTTAAGCTTACCCCTGGTCTTTTCCTTCACAATGTCCTCCTGGTACCCAGCTTTACCTTCAATTTAATCTCTGTCAGCAAGCTGACACATGATTTGCCCATCTCACTTCTCTTTCAATCTAATGTTTGCCATATTCAGGACCTGATATCAGCCAGGATGATTGGTTTGGCTCAAGAAACTAAAGGCTTGTACCACTTCATTCCACCAAATACTTCCAGTTCATCATCCTACACTTCATTTCCTCCCCAAGTTGCCTCTGTCTACAACTTTGAACCTCAGAAGATTGCCTTGTGGCACTGGCGCTTAGGGCATCCTAGTTCCAATAGATTTCAGCTTATTAAAGACTGTAATCCTAGTATTCCTAAGGAAGTCATTAAACACTGTGAACACTGCCATCTTTCTAGGCAGAAAAAGCTTCCTTTTCCTTTGAGTAATAGCTATGCTGCAGACATTTTTGAATTAATTCACGTGGACATCTGGGGTCCTTTGTCTGTTCAGTCACATGATGGTTTTTCTTTCTTCCTCACCATTGTTGATGACCATTCAAGAGCAGTTTGGCTCTATCTTATGCACCATAAGTCTGAAGCTCGTTCACTTCTTATTGGTTTCTGCAATATGGCGCAAACTCAATACAATAAAACAGTAAAAAGGGTGAGGAGTGATCAAGGAAAGGAGTTCTTAATGTGTGATTTTTATACTGAAAGGGGAATTGAACATGAGATGTCCTGTGTTTACACACCTGAACAAAATGGGCGGGTAGAACGTAAACATCAACACATATTAAACGTTGCTAGAGCCATTAGATTTCATTCAGGTGTGCCCTTACCATTTTGGAGTGACTGTGTCCTACATGCAGTCTATATCATCAATAGACTGCCTACTCCTGTGCTGCAGAATCAATCCCCATTCCAGATTTTGTACAAGACATCACCTTTCCTTGGTCATTTAAAGGTTTTTGGCTGTTTAGCCTATGCCACTAGTCATGCTCAAGGTAGAACTAAAATGGAACCACGAGCAAGACAGTGCATCTTCTTAGGTCTTCCTTCAGGAATCAAAGGCTATAAGCTCTTTGATTTGAACTCACATGAGTTCTTTGTGTCACGAGATGTTACCTTTTATGAGGACATCTTTCCCTTTAAAAACACTTCTGAACAAGAAAAGGTGTCTGAACCATCACAGGAGCATTTCTTCCCAGCACCTGTGACACCTTCTGATGTTTCACAAAATGTCATCAATCCATCTCATAGGAGATCCAGTCATGTCAGTAGTCCTCTCAATGATAGAAATCCTAGTCATGTCAGTAGTCCTTCCTCTTCAGCAAATCAAAATACCCATATAGCTGATCCTAGTTCCTCAAACAGTAGTCCTTCTCACTTGACTGATGCATCTAATGTTCTATATTCTGAGTCTGATGATGATGATGCTATGAGTAATGTGGAAATGGATGATTATGTGGATGATTCCCATGAACCAGAGCTTATAGCTCTTGAAGAAAGTGAAGCAGAACCACAGGTTCGAGAAAGGCCTCACAGGAGTGTTGTGCCACCAGCAAGGTACAAAGATTATTACCTGGGAGCAGTCAGCAGGTATCCTATGAATGAGTATGTTGGATATGAAAGGTTAACAGCAGAAAGGAAAGCATATGCTTTAAGTATGACAACTCATCTGGAACCAAGAACCTTTGCTGAGGCTCAACAGGATGAAAACTGGAATAGAGCTACACAGGAAGAGTTGGGAGCTCTCATTGCCAACAACACATGGGAAGTGTGTAAGTTGCCACCTAACAAAAAGAAAATAGGTTGCAAATGGGTATGGAAACTTAAGCTAAGACCAGATGGAAGGATAGAGAGGCATAAAGCCAGGCTGGTTGCAAAGGGATACACACAGGTATATGGTGTGGATTTTCTTGACACTTTTTCTCCAGTAGCTAAGAACAACACTGTTAAAACACTACTGGCAGTGGCAGCTATCAAGGATTGGAGTCTAGAGCAGATGGATGTTTCAAATGCCTTCTTGAATGGAGATTTAGAAGAAGATGTTTACATGGAGATACCTCCAGGACTAGTTATTGAAGGTGATACTACTGGTCTTGCTTGCAAACTAAACAAATCTTTGTATGGTTTGAAGCAAGCCAGCAGGCAATGGTTTGCCAAGTTGACAACATCATTATTAAAGAATGGTTTTACTCAATCTGCCTCTGACTATTCCTTGTTTGTTAAATGGGTGCAAGGCAGAATAGTAGTTCTGCTGGTATATGTGGATGATATTATCTTAGCAGGTCCAAGATTGGGAGACTTGGAGGCTGTCAAACACTACCTGAAGAAGGAGTTCAAAATCAAGGACCTAGGTGCATTGAAGTACTTCCTGGGACTTGAGATTGCAAGAAACACTTCTGGAATCAGTGTGTCACAAAGGAAATACTGTATGGATCTTCTTGAAGACACTGGTTTCACAGATGCAAAGAGTTGTAAAAGCCCTATTGACTGCAAGGTTAAGCTGAATGCAAGGGATGGGGAGTTGTTGAAAGATCCAGGCATTTACAAAAGGCTTGTTGGAAGGTTGCATTACCTAACAGTTACAAGACCAGACATAGCTTACCCTGTACAACAGCTAAGTCAGTACCAGATTCAACCACGGGAACCACATTTGCAGGCTGCTTACAGAGTTTTGAGATACCTCAAAGGGTCACCAGGTCAGGGATTGCATTTCAAATCAAAAAGTGACCTGTTGTTAAAAGGTTTCAGTGATGCTGATTGGGCAGCCTGCCCTGACACACGAAGATCTATTACAGGCTATTGTACCTACCTGGGAGATTCTCTACTTACTTGGAAGTCCAAGAAGCAAACCACAGTGTCTCGTTCATCCTCTGAAGCAGAGTACAGGGCTCTAGCCCACCTGGTTTGTGAGGTACAGTGGCTGAAAAGGTTAATTGCAGAACTTGGAATTACATTACCATCTCCAGTGAATGTTTATTGTGATAACATGTCAGCAATACAGATTGCTGACAATCCTGTTTACCACGAAAGAACGAAGCACATCGAGATTGATGTGCACATTACCAGGGAAAGAGTTAAATCAGGACTGATCAAGCTAAAATATCTGAGAAGCGAAGATCAGTTGGCTGATCTCTTCACAAAGGGACTCAGTCGTTACAGGTTGCAATTTTTGCTCGACAAATTGGGCGTAACAAATGTATACGCGCCAATTTGCGGGGGCGTGATGAAGATGAAAGGAAAGGGTGTCCTGGATTTGAATCTGCAGGAGCAGAGTGCTCAAGAGAAGATGGCGCCAATGTTGCAGAGTTTGAATTCAGAGGAAGAACAGTTCGCTTGAAACGTTTCGGTGTGGCGGCCGTTTCGTTCGCAGTGGAGCTGTGCAAGGAGCAGAACGACGACGCTTTATTTATTCGTTTTCTTTTAACCGTTTTATGTTGTTTGGACGAATGGTGTTTAACCACGTCATTGTTACCGTTGTGAAACAGTAAATCCGGAACCATATAAATAAACGAAACCCAGCAACTGAATTAGCTGAGGATTCCAAAACCCTTCCTCCATTCTTCATTTTCTACAGCACCCATTGTGGGAAAATTGGTCACCTTCGTGAGATGTGTTTCGACATAATCGGTTGGCCCCCTAAGTCAGAGCGTGGTGACCGGCCACGACGTCTCGGCTCACGACAGCAACAACAACGACAACAAAGAGGAGAACCGCAAGCAGCCGCTGTCGAGAGCTCGGATGTTGTCATTCCCGGACTCACTAGTGAACAAGTGGCGCAACTCAAAGCGTTTCTTAACTCCGAACCAAAGGTCACCACTACTTCGCCATCGCAACCAACCGCAAATATTTCAGGTACGTTTTCGAGTTCCACATCCGACGCATGGGTCATTGATTCCGGATGTAATGAGCATATTGCTAAGAATTTGTCGTTGTTTGATGGCGAGTTCGAGTCCAACTCGGCCCTCCAGGTTCGTATTCCTGATGGTACAGGTATTCCGGTTCGTGGTATTGGTCGCACAAAGTTGACAAATGGCTTAGTTCTTCAACGCGTGCTACATGTTCCTGAATTTCAATGCAATCTGTTATCAGTTAGTCGTCTCACGGCCGATCACTCAGTCGCTGTGATCTTTCTAAGCAACTTTTGTGTGATTCAGGACTTAAACTCGAAAGTGATGATTGGTACGGGTAGACATGTGGATGGGCTATATTACCTACGTGTGCTTGATGGGAGTCATCCGATGGCGTTTACAGTGCAGCAGGCAGTTCTTGATTCGGCACTTTGGCATGCTAGGCTTGGACATCCATCCCCAGCCAAGCTTACTGCTTTACAACCTTATATTTCCAGCACTTTGATTGTTAACAAGGACCCGTGTTTGTCTTGTTTACGGGCGAAGCAAACTCGTTTGCCTTTTGTTTCAAGTAGCATTAAGACGAAGTCATGTTTTGAACTCATTCACATTGATATTTGGGGGGGTTATAGTCAAGCTTCGTTATCTGGTGCTCACTATTTCCTAACCATCGTGGATGATTTTAGCAGGAGTGTTTGGGTATATTTACTGAAACAGAAGTCAGAAGTTGCTCGCTATTTGCTCCTTTTCCTCAATCAAGTGCGCGTGCAATATAATGGTCAGGTCAACGTATCCAAAGTGACAATGGTCGCGAGTTCACCGTCCCCGAGCTGCGTGATTATTATGAAAGGGAAGGCATAGTGCATCAAACGTCGTGCACTGACACTCCTCAACAAAATGGTGTCGTCGAACGTAAGCACCGTCACTTGTTGGACACTGCTCGAGCCCTCCGTTTTCATTCCGGACTGCCCATCCATTTCTGGGGAGAATGTATTCTTACTGCGACCTACTTGATCAACCGCATGCCCCTCACTGCCATTCAGAATCGGACTCCCTACGAGGTTTTACTTGGTACGGCTCCCACGTATAAGCATCTCAGAAGTTTTGGGTGTCTTGTCTATGCAAAAGACACACATTCTGGTCTCTCTAAATTTGCAGCTCGTGGCAAGCCGGGAATATTTGTTGGGTACCCAGCCTCTCAACGCGGGTATCGAGTCTTCGATGTCACTAGTCAAGTCGTCTACACGTCAAGGGACGTCTTTTTCTTGGAAAATATTTTCCCCTTCCACAAGCTTGGACGTGATGAAGCATCGTCTGCCAACCCCTCCGTCCCATTTTCACTTGGTCATTTTCATGATACCACCCACGTTGACTCTGGGGATCATGATTTGCTTACAATGGTGCAGGAAGTTACCAATTCCTTGGAAAATGATGACCTACCTGAAGGTCCTACCTCACCGTCACCATCCACTCCCGCAACAGACCCTTCTTCGCCACTAAGCTCCTTGTCGCCGTCAGGGGGAGTCCCCACTCCCAAGTCCAGCTCGTCTTTGCATGACTCA